CCGGTGCAGCCGTTTTTGTGTTACGGTTGACCAAAAATCACAATAAATAAATAAATAAATAAACAGTACGAAAACAATATGACTCACGCTTACGCTTCACGTGCGGGGGTCATAATTAGGTCATTTTGACCAAATTTGACTTAATCCTTACGATGGGTCACATATGGAGACTGGATTAGCAAACTCGCATGCCCCTTTCAAGGACCCTATTGAGGGTACAGAGCTTGTCCAGTGTATGACAGCAAAATGGAACCTGCATTGTTTCTTGTGAATCTGAGGGGTGACCATCAGTCTGACTTTCTTCTCTAACACCCCTAAATAGATCTTCAGGGATGCTAAGGAGAGTGATGATGCTATATTTGGAGCACACCCTCCGGTCCCCCTTTTTTTAGAGAGGGGGACCACCACCCCAGCTTGCCAATCCAGTGGCATTGTCCCCAAAGTCCATGTGATGCCGCAAAGACATGTCAAACAAGATCCCCACAACACCCAGAGCTCATCCAGTCCCTAGCCCTGCCACTGCACCACTTTTTACCTACTTCTGCCACCTCTGTGAATGGATGACATGTTTATATTTTTACTTGGCAGCTRATTCAAAATGTTTTCAATGTTTTCTGTGCCTTTGTCATATTGAAATTTTATCATTGATATTTGTTTCTGTGCCTCTCCACTTCCTTTGTAATGTAATAGTGTTGATCTGTTTAGTCTTTATGTCCAGATTTAAGATCTTGGCAGAAAGACACAATGATGACCCTGGAAAAGATTTAGAAAAACCAGAGAAGCACAACGATCCAGTAGAAGACACAAAAGCCTCTCATGAAAAGGATGAGAATGAATGTGGTAAAGGAAATGTGGAGCCATGTTTGGACGAGGATGGAGACCTCAATGTCACACATCGGTATGAAAAACTAAATATAAACCATTAAATTCTTTTTCAGAACATCTTGGTGAGACGTACTAAGATCAAAATAATTCAAAATAATGATTCATTCAGTACTAATTAAAAGTTTGGTCACATTTTTTGAGTTGTATATGCACAGAGAATCTCCTAAAGGGGAGCTGTATTATGTACATATTTTCCAGGCACAGTTCAGATCTAAACCACAATCAAGCAACTGTGCTGCCTTCAGTTTAGGGCTGCACAATATGAGGAAAACCTGTGATGTGCGAGAACAGTGCTTAATATTTTGATGTTGATATAAATTGAGATAAATAAATTGTTTCTTAAACATGGCCCCCATAAAACCTTTTCTGATGCCCTAAATACTAAAAAATGTGCCTTACTATCAAGGTTTTTAAATGAATACTAAAACACCTTAAAATAAGGTAACAAGCTTTTGATAAAAGTTAACAAGCCTAAATCCAACTGCAAACTCTCCCACTGCAGTTGATCAACATGAGTTGATGTGGTTTCTCTGGTCCATTTTGTTTATCAGACTGATGCTGGCATCACTGCAAACGTTTGAGCCAGCCATTAACTGCACTTGACGCAGTTTTTTTACGTTGACAATAAATTGCGATATTTTGTGCAGCCCTACTTCAGCTGTTATGAAAAGGCTGTATCAAAAATGAATTTGCCTTTCCATCATAATCTATCTGAACACCTTGAAACTGGCCTCTGCCTCTTTAGGGAACCTCCTACCATTTGTGACACTCCCACTTCAGCACGTCGTCACGTTAATTGATCATGTCGTGCATGAAAACCCTGGCTGTACGTAGGATTGGACACCCCTGCTCTAAAGAAAAGTCAAAACAACCATATTGTTAGCTAATAGCAGCAAAATATTAGCTAAAAGTATCAAAAACCTAATTGGAGTCTAAAGTATCAGGAGACRATCTAAAAGTCAATAATTACAGAAGCTAAACATTTTATGTTGCAAAGACAAGTCCCAAAACAGCAATTACTTATTAATTCAGCAACAAYGGGCTAAAACTAGTAAAGAACTACGTAGCTACTACTAATAAGTAGTAAGGCTAGCTATAACTTAGCTAAAAACTAAAAATAGCAAACCAGTAGCAATGAGCTAAAAGTAATAAGAAAACAATCTACAAGTGGTAAAACAGTAGTTAAAGCTGTAAAATGTTAGCTAAAATTAACAAACATCTTGCTAAAAAGGCTAAACTTCACAGTAGACTTACTAAAAGCTTAAATTGTCAGAAAGCTAGCTAAAAAGTAACAATATCAAAAGGCTAGCTAAAAGTCAGAAGCAGCAGAACAATTTCTAAAATCTTAAAAAAGAGCAAGTTAAAGCAGATTTCACAAATAATATTTTACAACTCAAAAAATCTCAATGTATTTCTATGAGGAAAATCTTTGTAAATAAAGTTTAAAAGTTACAAACACAATGTCTCAGACAGTACCTGATGCAGGTGTTGATCTGGTTTAAATTTAGCACATTGAACTTCCTGTCAGCTAATTCAAATCATTTATAATGATGTTAAGTTTGGATTGTCAAAATGTTCTTCCAGACCTCGAAAAACCTCCGAGGATGGTGGCCGAGACGTGGTCTGTCCTGTCGTCCTCACACAGTTTGTTCCTGCTACGGGCCTGGAGGAGGAGAACGTGGACGATGAAGAGGGTCGTTATTTCAAAGACATTTTAAGGATTGGTAAGAATTTGTTTTTAGTTACAGTTTAGTTTACATACAGCACACTAATTATGAACATGAATATTTTTAAATATTTATTTGAACCATTCTTTTTCCAATCTGGAATGTGCGTTCAACACACAACCTCAGTGATTTTTACAAAGTTTTTTTTTTTCCCTAATCCAAAAAAGGTCAGAAATACACAAATTGGCTCAAATAAACACAAACACCACAGGGTTTTTGTATCTTACCAACAAGCRTGTGGATATTTGATCACTCTTCTTGGCAGAGCCCAGCCAGCTCATTCTTTCAGTCATGATCCATCCCTCCTGACCACAGGTGAGGGTTTGAACTTAGACAGGCTAATAAGTTSACAGCTTTGCCTTTTTATTATTGTAACCCTTTCCCTATTCCACTGATTTGCACATTACTCAGTTCACCCTGTTCATCATCTTTGCAGCTTTCAAATGAACTTCAGCTGTATTACTGCCTCTTACCAGGCCGGAGTGTGTGCRTCAGTGTTACCAGTGTTCCAAAACTGAGAAAACAGAGAGAATCTGATGATTCTTGTATGTTCTGAGTTGGAGCATTTGTGTTAACATGTATCTCTGAAGCTGCAGCTGAGCTGAACTTCTTAAATCCTGTGGAAGAGAAAAGATGGAATCCTTTTTTACACAGCATTTCTTTATTTTTGTACTACGTTTTCCAAATAAACAGCAACACAGTGAAAGCAGTTGGGGTTTTTGTACACTTTTCTTGGTAAAGACCAGATTATTTTTTATTTTGTCCTGAAATGTAAATCCCTAGAACTGACAAAAAATTTTTCTGACTGTTTAATTTCTCCTTTATGTTGTTTACAGAACACACCATGGCTACACCCTTGGAAGATGTTGGCAAACAGGTGAGTAAAATTTAATGATGGAATTCAAAAATAGTGTTTTTTTGTTTGTTTGTTTGTTTTTTAGTAAATTTGCTACATTTTGAGAATTACTGTATTTATTCATGTATAATACTAGAAATTTAACCCTAAAAATCATCCATAAAATGGGGGTCATCAATAACCTGTATTATACACAGATTTTTTATGCTTTTTAATCTCAAAAGATTATGATTGTATTATACTCGAGACTGTATTATACGTGAAAAAATACGGTAAGCTGATCTCCACCTGCATTAATTGTGTGTTTAGTCGGTTTTAAAAATATTGAACCACAAGTTTGTTAAAATTAGTTAATTCAGGTTTTTTTTTTCATATGAGAATTGCAGGATTAATCAACAGCTTTATTACCAAGATACTATGAAAGATGACACAGAACAGCAACTTTGTAGTTAGTTWAAAAAATATTGAACCACAGGATTGTTAAAGTCAGTTTATTTTGTTTGATACGAGACAGACGTCACAATAAATACGTTGCAGAGATCTGTTGAAGGCGTACATGTGAGCGGGACCTAGCCGGCTTCTCCTGTGATTTATGAATGACCCGAGGAAGCTTAAAGCCAGAAGAGGCTTATGATTCAGCCATCGATGAACAATAAGCAGCCTTCAGGGTACTAATGATAGGTCATTAGGCACGGGGGTTAATGCAAGGATAAATGGCTCGAACTTATTCAGCACTTCWTCAAGTCCCTGCCGAGTCTAAAGCACTTGACATTTGAAAAAAGAGATTTTTCTCATCATTTATGTGGTATAATACTGTATTAAACTACCACAATGAATCAAATGTGTTGTCTTGTTTACACAAGGTTTGGCGGGGAGCACTGCTTCTGGCTGATTTCATCCTCTCTAAACAAGAGATGTTCAGAGGGTCCACAGTTCTAGACTTGGGAGCAGGAACAGGCTTAACCAGCATTGTCATGGCAACCACAGCCAAAACGGTTTACTGCACAGGTATGATGCTATTAAAGTAAATAATTTAAATCAAACTATTTTTTTTTTGTTTTTGTTTTTGGGGGTAATATATGACACTACAGTTGGATTGACTGAAATCCATAAAGTCATATTCTGTCATAAGATGGTGCCTCACTGGACTGGAACTGGATGGCGAACAGCGCTCACCAGGAAGCTGAGGAGAAATAATAATTAGTTTCATGAGTCACAGCTTGTGATATTACCTTTACATGTTCTTAGCTTAGCTTTACTAGATTCCAGCTTCACAGATGATTTGAAATGAAATGAAGGGAAAATGAAAACATCAATATCAAAATATCAGTCACAGAAAAAGCTAAACCATCAGTCACTTTTACAGCTGTTGTACCTATAGCTATAGTACCTGAGTCTCACTCAAAACATGCTTGTGTGTGTGTTTCTTTGTACCTTTAGTAAAATACCTTGTGAGCTACTGGGTATATGGCAATATACAATACAATATAATACAAAATGTTCCAGTCCAACACTCATCTGTCTTTATAGTACAACTACAACAAATGCARAATAAAAATACACTGGTATTTTTAACTTCCCCGTCCCCATTTTCATGCTTATTTTACAGATGTGGGAGAAGACCTTCTTAACTTGTGCAGGACAAAYGTGTCATTAAATAAACACTTGATGGAATCAGCAGGTAAGAGGCCACTGTCTGTTGTTTTGTCTAATTTATTTWATATAAAATATATTTTTTGCTTTGAGTGTCACACTTGTAGTATACAATCTTTATTCAGAGGAAAAAAAGTTATTYAGAATTTGTATACTTGTAGACTTTTTTCTGTTTTGTACAAAAGAACAATTACAACCGCACAAATTTTTTTTTTACTATAAATGCTAAACAGAGATGTGACACATACTATTCCATACTACTTTATTTGGATATAAGGCTACAATTGGCCAAGATAAGACCTGGTTTCTGTCTAAGAGGTCTTTCCTTTAATCAATATTCCAATTTTGAATCTACTTAATCTGACTTTAGTTCTGTGCCACAAGCATTTAAGGTCTCTGTAATTACACCTTTAGTTAAAGGAAACACCTCTTTGAACAGTTTAGTTGGGATGAGAGCTAGTAGACATGTTGATGGTTTGGATGTAGCTATTATTTTTGACAATTTAGAGATTATTTATGTATGTGCCAGGAGGACTGTGACCAGCAGCCACTGTTCAAAAGAATGGCCCAGCACAGAAGAACAACATCATCAGGCCAGGATTTATYTATTTATTTATTTACCATTATTTAACCAGGCAAGTCCCATTGTGATCTCAGATCTCATTTTCCAAGGGAGGCCTGGGCCTGAAGGCAACCTATTGTACATGTTTTGGGGGGATTCTGCAGTTTACACTCATCTACAGGCCAGCGGTCACTCTCTCAGGGATGAAGATGTTCTCATCCTTGATAGAGAGGAACGCTGGTTTGAGAGAGGAGTAAAGGAAGACATTTTTGTGAAGAAGAAACATCCGTCATTAAACGGGTGGAGGTTTTGTGTCCAATTATTACCATTTTACAATACTGTTATTGTGAGTATGACTCAGCTTTCTGTGAACAATGAGCAACAAACAGAGCACTAACGATTGCAAGGGGCATTGCAATTCCCTTGAGCAATAAAGAGGACTAGACATCTCTTTCCACAGCCACCCTTTCCAACGTTTCTGAGAGAACTTCAAGGCATTTCTATGCCAGCTAAGAGTTTCTCCATACAGTAATCATCCTAAGAACTTGTAAAATGTGGCTCCCAGTCACACTGTAAGATGTCCAGGTGATCAAGTCTAAAAACAGATTTGTTCGCTTTAAATTAAATGCTAACGACAGAGCATCAGCATTCAGAATTATCCTCTATAACTTATTTTGCAAATTACCAGCCTACATATAGATTACCATAGATTCTTCCGGCGACCCCTCTAGCTCTGCACCGATTACAATTAAACTGAATTAAGACTCATTAGTTATATCATAGAATCTTTCCACAGTATATCTAAAGTAATAGTATATTTTCTGACTTTCAGGTGGGGAAGTGAAAGTAAAGCAGCTTGACTGGCTCCAACACAGCCTTTGCAAAGGTAAACTTTTTTTTAATAATAACTATTTGAATAATTAAACCTACCTAATATAC